GAATCCAGACCTAAAATGTAACCACATTAACTCTTTTACTTTTTATTTAAAGATTAATTATAAACATATGATTTTAGTATTTTGAGTTGTTGGATTATTTGTTTTTTTAATTTCCTGTCAGTTGGGTATTTTAACTTATGTCACTTTGGGTTTGTTTCTGCCACATTATTAGTGTTTTACATGCTTCAATTTTGTTCAGACAAAATGGATTCTTTTAGGAGGCTACTTCAGCTGCAAGTGCATTTTTTATTTTGAGGAAAAAATATAAAGTGACACATTAAAAATAAGTACCATATAATCTAAAGAGATTGTGTTGCTGTAACATGGAAGTATGTTTTCCCCAATGTATTTTGCGTTCATTGTCTCCAGAATAAGTATTTAATTCAGTAGTTATTTCATTCTGTGTGTGTGTCTGTCTGTCTGTCTGCTATCCCAGTTCCAGTTTGCTGCAAATGGGAACTTTTGCATAGAAGAAGCCTTCAGGCTTTAGAAAAGGCTTTTTAACCACAAAATTGGGAATTAATTTCTGTACGAGTTTCTTGTAAAATAGTGCAAACCCTGCCTTTAGGGAAGAGCTATTGCCAGCTCCTGAAGTCATGGTGCTCAGATGTTTCACTTGACCTAGTGAGGGGCTCTCTGAGTAGATGGTTTATATATGAAAAATATCTTTCCATTAAGACAATGAAAGTTTTTTATTGAAAGATACTAACAAAACTCTCTAATCCAAAATTTTGTGGAATGATACAACTCTCTAATCCAGAGTTGTTAGTAGTCTGAATGTAAATTAATGACTTGCCTTTTTTTTTTTTTTTTTTTTTTTTTAATTAAGATATAATTATTTTCGTAGATTTCAACTCAGTCTTAGTTTCTTATTCATGTGAGTCTTCCTGGTTTACAGATATGCTGTCAGTTACTTAACTGTGCACCCCTGGTACTGATTTTTGTCATTCTGCCACACAGGAGAACTATACTGAAATCTTGTCAAATGTGTTGCATTAAACCATCCTGACATTTCATGTACTAAGTAAACTTCTGTGCCATGGGTGGGGAGAAGTTGGGAGGAAAAAATTGCTCCATGCTTGACCTTAAGTTTTTTCCTGGACAACTGCTACTGGAAATCATCAAAGGCAGGATGCTGGTATCTGAGCCGGTGTATATATTCTTACTGATCGGTTTAAAAAGAAGTGTGCCTGACTGCTAGAATAACAGAACATTGGTGCAAGAAATAGGGAGTGGCAAGGAAAAAACAATCAGTTTTCAGACTCGTCTGCAGCTGGTCACAGCAGAACAAAAGTCCTTTAGTTCACGTGTACTGACAATGTTATAGCACAATAAAACTGGACCTGTTTATCGTGATGCAGGTGGAGAAATGGTCTGTTTCCCCTTTTTCTTTCTTGGTTAGTTCCTAGAATGTAAGCAAGATTGTTTTTCTTGCGATGCATTAATATTTCACTTCTATTCATTCTGTGCTAAGGATTCACACAACACGTGGCCTCTTCACATCTGCCTCATGGTGCTTGCCCCTCAAGAAGCTACACGTGACCTTTGCAGACACTGTTCTGCACTGTGAAACTTTATGGTTTAATTCTTTTCACTGGAATGTACATGCAGTTTATGATGCAAGGCTAACACTTGATTTGCACTGCTAAAAATAAGATTTTAAAAAAATAAATATCCATGACTATTTTTGATGCATATGATGTGCCAAAATGAGAAACTGTACCATATGTTCTCTGTCTGTAGCTACACATGCTCTTTCTTGGAGCGAGGGGGGCATCAGTGAGTGAGAGGGTCAGTGTGTCACCAAGCGTTTGAAGCTCTTGATTTCAGGAAGAGGTTCACCACAGAGGGATGTTGCTTCTCAGACCTGAGCCCTGCCACATGTGTTCCCCTAAACTTGCCGACAGGTGTCCGTGCACCATCCTGCATTGGCTATGTGCCGCTGTGTTGCTCCTTTCCTTCTCCTAGTTTGTGTTGTAGCACAGTCAAACGTGCAGGCTCCTTATTAATTGCCAGCCGCTGAACATTAAAAGTTAATTTAAAAGCCCACTGGATTACAATGTGAAGAGTATTCCTTTCATTACATTGCCCATTATTTTAAATGTATAATTTACATATATTATTGCTTAATTTCACTTAATTTTTTGTAATGAGGTACTGAATGGAAGATTTACAGGATTTATGAGTACAAATGGAAGGCTTATTAGACAGGCATTTTTAAGGTTAAGCTTATGAATAGGTATACATAAAACCGAATGGGTTTATGTCAATCTGTGGTTGTGAAATACCGTTGTGACTATTGATCAAAATATTTTAGAATATTCTTTTCTTCTTTTTGTTTTAGGTCATGGATCCTACTGTTTTCTATACTTCCTTCTAGGCTGGTTTTTATTCTTTTAGTAGAAATTTTCTGTGTTCTCAGAATGTAGCAAATACTGTGGAAATCCTGGAATAATCTTGTCTTTATCAGAATAAACCTCTCTTCTGAGCCTGAACCACCATTATTATGGTCATGGCTTGTGTCTTTTTTAAACTGGACATGTTTTAGGTTAACTGTGGCCTATGCTTTGCTGTACCTCCCTCCCTGCTAAGGAAATTTTTCTTTTACCTGACGCCAAGTTTACTTTTCCTTTACCGCTCACTTTCCTTTTTTCCTCATATACCAGGTATGTTGTCTAGTTGCTTCCATAGAGGTCTTTGTGTACTTTCATTGTGTATTCCCTTTGGTATATTCCATTTTCTCTGAGCCTCTTCTTGTATAAGTGATTTGATAATTCTCATCTTTTTGTCTCAACGGAAGGAAAAAAAAAGGAAAAAAAGGTTGCTTTTTCAAAAGGTTTGAGGAAGGTGGGGGCCAAACTGCCCAGAGGAGATGCCCTGCCCTCCTTAAAGAATAACAAGTGTAATTCATGTTATTTGAATAATCTCATAATTTTTGCTATTAATGTGGCTTTTGTCTTAACCATTTCATAGGTTAATAGAATAATTCAGATTGGAAGAGACCTCAGGAAGTCAGCTTGTCCAACTGCCTGCTCCAAGCAGGGTTAAAACTGAATTCAGACCAGTTTTGTAGTCTCTCTGACAGCTAATAGAGAGATCAATACATCCAGTGGATTAGTCATTCCACCAGTATCTAGGTATGGAAATGGGTATAATAATTAATGCTTAGCAGATCCCTGTCATGCTCTCCTTCATCCTAGTGGTGACAGAGGAGAGCATAGATGACCAGCCTAGTTGCCTTGTTTATAATAGCTGAGGGTAGGTGAGATTAATGCCGTATTTTTCAACAGTGGACTCTGAAATAATGGAAAAGAAATAGTGTGAGTGAGAAAAAAAACAGATGTATTTATTGAAAATGGGCAAAATGTGCTGCTGGGGTACCAAATCTGATAAATGACTGTCAATCTGTACCTGTCAGAGACCATCCTGTTTGTTTTCCAGTTCTGCTGGTTCAGATCTGTTCTGACAGCTTAGAAGCATGGTCAGGTCTATGCTGGTGGCTGACTGGAGATGCTGCCGTGGATAGCCTTATGTATCTGATGTGTTTGGTTCACCTTCCAGAAATACCAATCAGTTGTTACGGCAGCCTCATATTTTTGTGTCCTTCCCAAGTCCCTCATTCATTTGCTACACTGAGTTATTTCCTCTTGCCTTAAAGCTCTGTGGTAGGACCAAGACTACTCCTTCATATTAAAAGTCTGTCTAAAGAAAGCAAGATCTGATTTGAGCACAGCAATAGAAATGAGAAGGAATAATGCACGAAGGGCTTCTTCTCAGTAAAATTGGCTTGGCTGTAGATGTTTTAATAAAGTGACTTTTAGTTGGGCTAGAACTGAGGTTTCTAACAGTGCGTCTGCGGTTGCATTGCCGACAATGTGGTGTGGAGGTACTTGAGCTAGATCTCAACTTGTTAACAATTTGGATAGAGTTTGCAGCGCAGAACTGGCGCAGTCATCAGTGTCTGCCTGAGACGCTGGGTGAATACTTCATCACTCATCCAAAATGACTAGAGTGCTGACATTACGTTTGAAGATGTAATTTATTTTCCTGCCCTCATCCTTTCCAACAAATATCAAAAAGCAATTAGTTGTGTTTTGGCCAATAATAAAGACCATAACGATTCCTGTATTTGGCCTCCAATGGTGCCGTAAATGAGAAGCCCAAACAGATTTCTGTTTTCTAAAGCGATGCTGAAATTCACTATCAGCTCAAAATTTTTAGGATGCTTTTCTATTTTGGGATTATAATGTGTTTGTATGTTTAACTTCCTCAAAATGTAGACTTCACTAGTGGGGATTTATAGACGATCAGACTAGTTGAGAGGGAGATGTATACAGAGAAGCCTTTAATGGTAGCTAACTGCTTCTGTGGGCCCAATTAATACTATCCAACTGTGAAACACAGTCCCCTGAGTAACAGTGCAGACAAGTTGCCTGGGTTTTTTGAGGTGGGGGGAAGGAGGCCTGAAATAAGGGAATATCCAGTGCAGCTATGAAGAAAAAAAAATACTTTAAGAGTTATATTAGAGAAAAAAAAACAAAAACAAAAAGCAAACAAACAAAAAAAACCAAACCGAAACAAAAAAAGAAGCAACCCTCAAACTTTTGGTATGCAGTATTGATAAAGGTTGAGGTCAGCTTTACGTATGCACCACATTCTAGACGATGCCGTAGTAGCTATGCCTGAGATCTGGACGTGTTGTTGGTCCAAAATCAATCTTGTCGCTCCTTAGAAGGCAATGAGAGATAATAAGTACTATTCACCTGATTGCCTTCCTGTTCTGAGACAGCTGGTGACGCTTGTCTTCCTGATAACCAGGAGTTTCAGATCTAAGGCAGGGATAAAGAAAAGCTGGGAGCTTGCTGAATCTAAATTTGACAGTCGATGGCTGTGTAGAGGGTCAGGAGGGATAGAATCTGTGACACGTATAAGAAAGGAACAAAATTTATCTGCTCTGGTTGCAATGATTAGATGTCTCTTTGTCTGGCTTTCTTACAGTGGATGATTGATTGTACCCGCCAGCTGGCTAATATCATAATTAACAAAGTTGCTACCATGTCTGAGAAGTTTAATCGAAAAAATTGCCGGCAGTATGATGCCATTGTCACAGAGATCACAAGCGCTGCAGTGTCGACTTTTGTACTGGTGGAGCCACAGGACTATGTAGATGTGCTGAGAAGTCGTTCGCTGGGATAACTAAAGGTATGTTTCTTTTCCCATACATTTCTCCCCTGTTTGTTCTTTTGAAAAATGAAGTAGATGGTCCTTTGATGGTACCTTTCATTTCAGGGTGCCACGCAAAGCTATTCTGTGGTATTTTAAAGCAGTTGCAATAGCAATCTAGAATATGTTTTATCAATGCATCAAAAGGTGAATAATCAAAACTGGAGTTCAGTGCTACTCACTCTTTCTAAGTGGTCTTCGCTGTCTTGCCAGATGCTTTTTGCACAAAATACAGATGAGGTTGTTTTAATAGCTTAATTTTCTCAGTTGAAGGAACTACAAATGCTGTTGACAGTCTGTATTGTAGGAGCTCATAGTTCAGTTTGAGTTTGTGTTTTGTAATATTTCTTTTCATTCATTACTTCAAGTTAGAATGTAATTTAAAAGAAAAAAAAAAAAAAACAAACAAAATAAAACAGGGAAAACCCCATATTCTTGAGTTCGTAATTCAGCATTAAAATATCTTGCTAAAATATTCGGTTTTCTATAGGTGTATTTGTGTGTGTGTGTTTGTGTGTGTGAAATGAGAGCAGCATCAGTGCCGTTAGCTGAAGAGCCACTTCGCAGCACCTTTGTAAAATATTGCCTGAGAATCTCACTTATTCCTTTTGTGCATTTACCTAGTTTTCCAAAATGAATCCGCTGAGCTCTTCTTCTCTTCAATTGTATTTTTACATGTGTGTGTGTGTGCACTGCGTGGTAGTTCAGTTATGCTCTGGAGTATGTGTTGAAAATGCCAGCCTGACATATTGCTAATGAGTGTGCATATTGACAGTGACGGGGGCGTGTGTCTGTCTGTGTGCCATATATTAAAACAAAAAGAGGAGAGAGACGGAGACAGAGAGAGACAGAGAGACAGAGAAGGAAATATTGGGATGGGAAAGAACAGTTTATTTACATTACGGTATGTCAAGACGTTATTATGGCTAAAAAATCCATTTTAAATAGACATGAGATGGCATATGACGGTTCCTTCTCTTTCTCACAGGAACTAATACGGTCATGGTAGGACAATAAGGGAGACCTGTTTATTTTGGTGGTATTAGTATTTTTCTGCCCAAGTAATTTTGACTTTTTGGTACAAGTCTCTAAAATTTGGGAAATGAATTGTTTGCATTGTGTTTCAGTTCCGTAATGAGCTCTCCCTGAGTTTTCTATTGCTCTTCTCTGTATCTTTACAGGTAAACTAGTTCTGAGCATTCAGATGTAATTGTTACAGTAGACTTTTGAAGGAATGTATTGCTGTATAGCTAACGTAGCTGATGTTTATTTAAAAACAACATGTTTTGGGGATGCACTCTTTTATATTTTCCAATTTTCTGTTTAGAGTTAAATAATTTTCTAGCTTTGAGCTGATATTATTGCAATGGTAATTTAAAATTAATCCAGACTTGATTTTTTTCAGAGAGATTTTGCAGTTCTCAGTCAATTTAATAGCAGATAAATTATTTTTAATTAGTAGACCAAATTGGAAATCCCAACTAAAATACTTTTTTTCTTTATTTGTCAATGGGCTATACCTTTAAAAAGACTTCTGTTTTGCAGGTAAATACTTTTTTTCCAAGCCAGAAAAATATTTCTATCATCATGATTATTCCTATCATCAGTAACTGATTCTAGGTTTTAACTTATCCTTGTAAGTCTACTGCTTTTCAAGAGCTGCTAAGCAAAATTAAAAATCTATATTTTGTTTTGAATAGAAAATGCTGTGAACAGTGGCAATATAGATTAGTATTGTGATTGCAGACAATAGGGAAGATTAAGTTACTAAAACAGTATATTGTTGTTCTAAACTAAACCCTGTAATATTTTGTGTAATTGAGACTTTGTGCATTGTTAGAACTCAGTTGGAGTATCAAACGGTTGTGAGGATTAGAGCAGACAACTAAAGCAATGACACAGTAGATGTGGCTGGTTTTTAACAGGATTATCTTCTGAGATGTGTAGAAATGAGCTCTTGTAATAGTTTTGGAGGAATTAATAATTTTAGTAAAATGTTAATGGCAAATGTGCTAATGTAAAGAGTTAGAAGATTAGTGATGCATTCTTTTGCATGGAAATAAGAATATAATAAATGTCCTGCAGGTGACTGAAGCTACTGCAATTTTATTGGAGATTAAAGTTTGATTGACCTTTGCTGAGGTGATTAACCCTTCTGAAATTAAAAGCCAGTTGTAAATTATTCTGTCCAATTTAAATGCAAACACAGAACAGTATGCTGTGTCATTCAAGTGTAAGAGAAAAAAAATGTTTTAATTTTCCTTTTGCACTCAGTGAGATGTGATTGCAGACGGCGCACGACTGGGCTCTGGTAGAACTGGCCAGTGGCAACCGGCCTTTGCTCTGCTCGTCACCGCCGGAGCAGCCGCGCCACGGGGACGCCAAACTGGGGAGCGGCCGCCCGCGATGAACCCTCACATGCGGGGATGTCGGCAGGAACGCAGGGAAGCGTGTCAGCAAGGTAAGCAGTGAAAATGGCTGTGGATGTGCTTTATCTGCTGGCGTAGACATTGAGCCGGCTGAGGCGTGTGCGAGCGGGCAGCGTACCACCGGTGAGGAGTCCTGCCCAGCCTCGCCGGGCAGCTCTCCAGAGCTGGGGAGCTTACCTGTGCGAGTCACCTCAGAATTAGAAGCAGAGCTGCATGTCTGTTGTTCTTCATGTTGTTTTTACCTCCTACCTAACCCTTAAAAGTCAGATTTATAAGCTTGCAGAACTGCACTTTTGGACTGACAGAGCACTTGCCTCACCAGCAGGCTGAGTGGAGGTATGCGAATTGCTGTGCTGCTTAAATGCTGTGATTCTAGTCCTTCCTACTAAAAGTGCACAAGTGGCTTCTTAGGTTGGAGCCGGTACGTCATACTGGATGGGTAGGATCAGGACACGGTCTTAGCAGTTGACTAAAGCCCATGGGATGACTTGCATGTATACAGTCATGCAGATGGTCATCAGAGTCGCTGTGGCTATGCTACTGAACAGCCTTTGAAAACCTAGAAAGTTAATTTCCAATAGATTTTATAATTTTGTTTTACAGTACAGTTGGTGTCTGTGTGTGCAAACTTTATTAATTAATATTAAATTGGAAAGACCTCAGCAATACATTTGCTGCATATTTTATGAATGTTTCATTAAAAGTTGAAAACTTAAAAATTCCTCCCGGAGTATCTGCCTTGGTCTTTTTTTTATTTAACAGACAAATGACTGTCAGGGCAGTGGTTTGTTTTGTAATGAATCACACTTAATTTTCTCAGAGTAAGAGAGTGGTGTGTTATCAAACAGCATACTGTCTAAAATCACTTCTGGAGGACTATAGAGACTCTCTGAGGGCTTAACTTTACACTGACTAAGACCATTATAATTGGATCCCTTTTAAATTATCTTTTTGTTGCTTTTGGTAAGAAATGATGTATTTGTTAAAAGCCTTGCACCAAAATAGTGGTAAATTAGAAGCAGTTTAGTTACTTGAGTTTGGTTCAGTTTGCATAAACAAGCCCTTGAAGCATCACTGTTTCCCTCTGTCACCTGCCGGTCCAGGGAGGGAGGCAAGTGGGTCACGTCTGCACACGGGGCTCTTCATGGTCCTTGGCACAGTCTACAGGATCAAACAACCACCTTTTTTTTTTTTTTCCTTCTTTTTTTCTTTCTTTCCTCTCCCTGAGTCCACCTCCCTCTGACTGCCTGAGAAGAAATAAAATGGCCCTTGGAAGGCTTTTTCTTGCATGCCAGCAACAGTAGTGCTGGGAATTGGGCTGAAGCGCAGAAGGGCTACTGCAACTACTTGGCCTTGAGTGGACTTTCTGCCTAGTAAAATTTCCTCTTCCTTCATGCAGCTGCAAAGCATTTAAATGATAATGAATGTGCTATCTGCATTCCATATTCAGTTTTCCTCCTCACTTTTCATCAAGAAGACTTCATATTGCGTCTGTCAAGGTAGGGAAGTCCAAGGAATTGCAGTTCAGAAATTAAGGACCCTGAGGTAGCAGCTCACCTCTGCCTCATCTTTTCATTTACACTTTAAACAGCCTTCAGAGAGATGGGCTGCTGCTTCTGGGACCCAGTGAAGAAAGTGAGGAATAGATAAAAGCTAAAGTTCTGGTGGAGTGACCTAAATGGAACAGCTGGCAAAAGTATAGAGGGGGATCCTCCTGGGTGCTGAAGTATACCTTCAGGCTTGGATTAGTAGGATGTTTAACAAAGAGATCCATTTGCCAAAAGGATCTCTGCCTGATTTTTAATTATGGAACTAGCACTTCCTTCAACATTTGTAAATTATTGAGCTTTTTTTCCTCTTGTAAGGTGTAAAGTACTAATTGTTGGCTTTGGGCTCTTGCTTCAGCTTTTCTCAATCTAAAATTTTTTCATGTTCTTGATTTAACCATATGAATACTGGGGACATGAAACATTTCAAGAGTTTTTATTTTATGAATAACAAGATGCATTCTCTATAGACAAAATAAATATGAAACTTAAATATCTGTTGTTTTGCCTATAATCCTGGAATGCTTTTGAATGTTTGGAAAAGGATGAAACTTTTCTTTAAATTGAGGAAAATGGTATTTATAAGATCGTTTTAGTCATATGTACCCATCATATTTGAGTTAACAATATTAGGCATATAGCACCCAAGATTTTTTTAACATTTTAGTAGCTAGATGTCTCCATTCCTTTGCATATTTTACAGTAGAGCAATGCAGGAGAATAAAAAGAGTGGGACTGCATACGTGAGAAATTCCTATTGTACCATCCAGCTTTCATATAACATTTTCGTTTTTGAGATACTCATTATGCACTTGTCTGTTATCAGCTAATACTGCCATACATTGATTAAACCTCAACACGCACAAAAAAAAATTGCAAAAAGTAATGATCCTCTAGCATGATATAAAGTTTTCAAATGGGTGGCGCATCAGGACAATTCATGATGAAGTAATAATGTATGCTATATATGTGTTCAGTGAAGAGATGCTCCTAAATGTGTCTGTTGGTATTTACTGTTGTAGTCAGGCAGAAGAGACAGAGCAGTGTAGTAAAATATTTCTGGAAAGTCTGTTGGAATGCTTACTATATTTGACTACTTTAGGCAAAAAAAGTACTTACCAGGCGGTGGGGGGAGGCTAGGATGTTGTCACTGTACTCACTTCCTACAGAGTATAACATCTAAAATAAACACTGTTAGTCATTACACCTTCTGTTTTTCTCTCTTGAAAAAGCATTTACCAAGCAGGGCAAGTTCTTTCAGAGACAGGTCACATAAGATTGTTTTGATGATATTCACTGTGTGTCAGTGTTAATAAGCCATGTGAGAGATTGGACAGCTGCTTAGTGTGTGGTATGACACATAAACCAGTGTTTCTCTCTTGCAACAGCAAAATGGAAAAAAGGTGAAGTGATAACATTGTTTCCTATTGCCCCCAGCCAGAATGGCATAGGGAACTGCATATACTTTTAAGCTTGTCTGGTAATTGTTTAGAAATGATCTTGTTCAGCATGATAACATTTCATTACATTAGCAGTAGTCATTGTGAATATTTGAATAGAAAATACTTCCACATTGTATTTCTTCCACAAGCTTTATTTTTCTTCTGAACTGTCAATATTCTCTCAATATTCTACTCTGCCAATAGCAAAATGAAAATTGGAGGTTTGATACCTTTTTAACTACAATATATGTTAATCTTTTTTTGTATATTTTTTCACAATAGAACAAAACACACTTTTCTATATAGGGAAAACTTTCTAAATAGTGATACATGCACTGTATTGCCTATGACTGCAAAACACTGAAGTTTCAATAGCTACATAAGGTTCGACCTTAAAACTTGTAAATAATTTTTTTTTCTCTTTACACTGACATTTTTAGCAAAAGCTACATATTCCTTGTTGCAAATCTACACATGATAAAAATATTTTGTATATCCCTCCCCAAAAGTTACCCTGAAATCAGGGCAGAAGATACATGCTGTCTCATCTGACTAAATGCATTATACTACTTTGGGAGTAAAATTATTTTATCTTATTTACTTGTTTTGGGAAGTTGGAAGTAGGTGAAAATACTAGATTCATTTTAGGCTTCTGTTAAAAATCAGTAATTGTCTAGGCATTTTTTTTTTTTTTATCACTGAAAATTAGATGCAAGTTGATAACTGCATTTTTTATCCACCAGATTTGTGTAGTTTTCTGAAAGAGTGCATAACAGAGAACTGAATTTGAATAACTTGAATAGCTGCATATGAAAACTCTTGGAGTATAACGTCACAGTGAACATTTCTTCTCTCTGTTTCAGTAGAAATTAAAATTCTGTTATGAATGTAGTTTCCTATATTGCTTTAATGTTTTTTTGTAGTTTTTGCAGGGCTTCAGATTCTGACTTTGGGGTGAGGGGAAGGGGAGAAAAGGATGTGAAACTTGTAGTTCTGGTAAAACTTTGTAGGTCAAGGCAGAATGTTTCTGAAATATTTATTACTTTACATTAATGAAATGGGTGGTGGGAGAAATTTCGAGAAGCTTTTCTTTAAAGTAAATGAAAATATGCCTTCTCTGAAGAAATTAAATTGAAAATGAAGTGAGGGCATTTTCATTAAAAATTGCCTGACTGGAAATGAGAACAAGTTGAACCATTATGTTCAACAGTTCAAAAACTACTTGAGGAAACATTAACTTTTAAAGTCCTGTTTGAATAACCACTAAACCTTTAGTCAGAAATGAATCTACTCTTCCATGTAGAAACACTAAGGAAAACATTTATATGAAAAAATATAGTCCAATTTCTGAAAATACAGACCAATTAGTGAGATTTAATTTAGATATTTGTCACTGAGTATGCATCACGTATATGTTGGAGCTGATTTACCATTATTTCCTTGTCTTATTTGCAAAAAGAGACTCCTACTTATTGAAATATTACTGAAGAATCTAGCTTTCCCCACAAATTACACACTTTTTGCATAAATGTGCCTAATTACCTGAATTCAGTTTTGATTAGCAGTGTTAATTGATGCAGCTGTGGATGGGCTCTGTTTACCTAAATTACCATGTGCAAACAGCAATACGTCTGAAAGTGAATATGCTAAACTGAAAATACTAATTAGCTAAGACAGATTGTTATTCAAGTCACATCTCAGAGCTTCTTAATGAAAGTCTGAATGTGTCAGGGCTTTATGATATTCAGACAGAAATGTCTATATTACATATGATTTCTAAATTTAATTCATGGGAACAGATGGGATGTCGGCCGGAGTTCTTCTCTATCGCTTCCAGTATTAATGTGAATATTTTACTCTACTGGAGACATTTTTTGAGTGTGTATGAGAAAGAAGTGTGTGTGTGAGAGAGAGAGGAGGGAGGAACTCATTGTGTGCGTTGACAATGTGCCAGCCAACAACATCTAACTGGTCTATTTTTGACTGACATATTTGCAAATTATAGTCACCTACTTTCCCAGAATGAAGATAAACAAACTATTT